GTTTAGAAAATATAATTAAACATTAGTTTAGAAAATGTAATAAACGTATACGAGTTTTCTTTTTAATAAATTGCCCTTTATGTTTTAATGAAGGGTTAAAAAATATCAAATATGCTTTCATTTCTGAGAATCGTCTGAAAAACGTAGAGTGCTAAACAAAAAGGTGAACAAAAAGATGAACAATATGTACAAGATTGAGTTTTTACAATATATTACAGAAATATATAGAAAAATTTTCTATATATATGGGATATATGTAGACAATTTTCCTATCTGGAAATTTTCTATAAAGAAGCAAAGTTCGTCATAAAAAGAAATCTTGGAATAAAACTGCAAATTCGATGCACACATGCACATGTTTGCATGAGAACGCATCACTACAAACATGAATTTTATACGTTTCTGAGGAGAAAGTCGCAAGCCCGGCGCGCAACAACTTAAAATAAAAAGTATTTTCTCCTTCCCGACGCTGCCCTCTACCTTTAAACCCGACAATAACGGAATGTCGTCCAAGTGAAATACTCGACAGACTACGGGGGGCTAAGTAAATACGCGAATGGGCTACGTTGAATTTATGAACCCGCAAGTACGAGAATTTCCGCCCACTCGGATGAAAATTTTTCGGACTGTCCGTTAAAAAATTCAGAAGACGATTACCTACGTCGAAAAAATAGCTCGGTAAACACGCGACTTCAACTCGCGCAATTTGCGGAAAGGACATAAATTATTTCATTCGTTTACCATAATTATGTAACACGACAAAACTTATGTCGATGTAAATGATAAGGTATAATTTGTTTTTTTTTTTTTTAAGTAGTACTCGCGCGACAGTGACCTACCTAAAGTTTGAGTCTTATTATTATTGAAAAGAAAGTTACAATATGTATATATAATATATTAAATACGAACTTTAAAGTTTAATGTATTAACATCTTTTTGATGAAATATATCGACTCTCAATGTTCAATAATAATTCAAAAGTAAACAATTAATTATGTATTTTGTCTTACGGGAATAAACTTTTTGGTTGCGAATGTAACCAAAAAGATAACCTATACACTCAAAGATTTTGTATATGATACACATGTATTAAACTAATAAAGATGTAGCACCGTTGCGTTAACCTAATCCTAACCCTAACTTAAAACCTAAACCCTAAACCTTTGACGCTCTGTATTTGTGCGTATTTGTGCGGTAAACAGTGAAAATGACTCCTCAATTAAAACATAAAGAGCAATTTATTAAAAAGAAAACTCGTGTAGATTACGTTTATTACATTTTCTAAACTAGTGTTTAATTACATTTTCTAAACTAAACGGTCTACAGTTTAATTACATTTCCTTAACTAAACAATCTACAGTTTTGAAACTTTTTTTATAACATTTATATATTTCTGTCCTATATCATACTCGTTTTTTTATAACAATCTTAAGAATTTTATGGATGTTATAATTAAAACTGTGATGTTAACTTAAGTTGCGTATATGCATCACATGTAAAAACTGCACGTTTTAATGTAATTTACAATTATCTCAAAAACTAGACAGTCTATAAGTTTCCAATTGTATAACAACAAAAAGAGAACTTAAATTTAATTGTATTTAACATTTTGCATTTAACATTTGTAAGAATCTCATTTCATGTAAGTACTACCTTAATGTTATGCTGAATAATAAAATAATAGCGATATTTGCAATTTTTACATTACATTAAAAAAAACTATTCTGAGAATATTTGATGTGTACTTTTTGACACTTTTGGTAGAAAAATGCAAACTAAACCATCCGTCGTTTCACGTCCGTGAAAAAGTTACTATACGGTTTACACGATCGGCGACGCATTACATTATCGACACACACACCGGAGGTATAATTAATTGTTGACGATAAACTGTAACATGCGCGCTCAATTGCGAACTGACCGAAACATCGACAGTTTGTCAGGCGGATGTGGGTCGCCGCAATAATTTCTGACATGTTTCGCGCGTCGCGTGCTCCGGCAATAACGTGTAGCGTTACCGGCGACGCGATGGCGTAAAACGGATCTGCGTAATGCCGACAAATCGAGGTGTGTAAAGCGTAATTGATCATTAGTGACAAATGACTGTCAGCAATTCTATCGTACCGTCAGTCGTTCGCCTACGATGCATTGCCGTTTAAATATATACGCCGATTTATCAATTTTGCGCTTGTTGCGCATCTGCGCGCCAAATTTTACGCGTAAAAACCGGTAATTCTTATAAAAATAGAGACAACAGAGGTTTTTTACTTTATTTGTCAAAAAAAAAAAAAAAAAGAAACAACAAGTAGCGCACGCTTTCTCTAAATCGAACTGTGGACAGGCATAATATACCAACATTTCTTTATCACCAAATTGCGATATTTCGTGTTTTTCGCGAATTGCAAGAAATTTGTCGTATAAACGACGATCGAATAATCTCGCAAATGTGTACAACGTAATTCGGATCGGCTAACGATCGCAAATTAGAACTGTTTTAAGTCAAAATCGATGGCAAAATAGTGAGCAGAAGTTTTTATCCATTGCGTGCTTTCGTTTTTGTTTGATCAGTAGATGTGATTCGAGACGAGAATTTTAACCTTCGCGTTTTCGTTGTCACGCCGAACGGACATATTGTGTGTATGTATTTTGTAAAAAAAAATAAAATATAGCACAATTTTTTAAAATAATCTTCCGATGTGTTATATTGTTCCAAGATTTATCGCGCAGACATTCGCGTCATTGGAGCGAAGGAGATCGATACGGAATATACGTATTTTATGATTAAAGCGATTTAGCGTACACCTATTTTGCGCGCCCGCGAGTGTGTGTACGTGTACGTGTTCGTATGCGCACACCGCCGATGCGATTATTTGAGGGTTATTCATCGAGGAATGAATACTAGCTTTTACATTTCATTAAACAAATGCAGTCAATGTGATCCTCTCGGTCGTTACGGAATAAATATTAATGAACCGCGAATACATATTAACTACGTTTATGACTAACGAATTATACGAAATGACTGCCGGAAACGTTAAATTAAATAACAGAATTTGCAATGATGTTGACTATAAACATTTAATATCTCTCTTTCTCTCGCGCGCGCGCGCGGTGTGTCGAGAGATTCGAAATGACTCCGAACGGTCAGGCACATAATAGATTCCCCCCTATGTAAAAGCATTGACGTTTTACCTCAAATATTTTAATAAATAAACTCGTGACAATTTCATAAAATAAGGCCAATGCGAGCTGAGTATTGTAATTTGACTCGCATTGACCTTAATTCAAAATTATTTTCGATCATTTCATCAATTACTTGCAATTAATTGTAAAGTTATCACACAAACAATTATTTAAAATAATCCTTAACCTTTCGTCCATAAACTACGTCTCTCAGACCCACTCAAAATTTGCGAATCAACGTTTCTAGAAACTTACGATAAAAAAAAAAGAAATAGAAAAAATTGATTTTTCGCAGAGATATTCGATCTTAAAGTCACGTGGGCTTCACACAGACTCAGTCTACAGTACTCGTAGGTTTTTTTAGGTTTACAGGCGAAGAATTAATGACAATATATAAAAACTCAACGTGTATACTGCTCAAAAAACTGGATTTTTCTTTTAAAAGAAAAATGTTTTTAACAATGAAAAATAAATTAGAGAAATGAAAATGTCTCTCATTTAAATAAAAAAAACCTAACCACACAGACACACGTCTCTCTCTCACTTCTATTCGTTTCTACGATAATATTCCGAAGTCGTTTTTTCTGGACATGGAAAAATGTGGCACAAGAGCGCGATCGTCTCTTTCTCATTCCGGTAGCATAGAGATAAAATATTCCCAAAGACACTTCACATAATTCGTACAGAATTGCAAGGCAAACTCGTAAGCAGAGTGGAGTATCGAATGGCACGTGCCGAGACCGATACTATCGAACTCTATCCAAGAGATTTACGAATCCACAGTGAGTCAGCTCGAGTAATAAGCGTGCATGCGACGTAAATTATTGTATGTACGATACCAGGCGACGGACGCGTGTGCGAACACGTTACGCGATACATCGATAATCGATATACGTTGTATATATAGAGTATTTCGCATCGAGACAGTTCGATAACAAATCTACGAAAAAAGCCATAAACGCGTTAACGTAAATATTAAGATCCTAATCGAATTATTAAAATCCTAAACGAGTTAAAATCATAACAAATTATTAAAACCCTAAATAACCACGCGTCGCGTGTTAGTTCGTTGACTTAAAAGAATATTATTTACACAAAACATTACGTCAATGATTTAACGTTTGTGTATCTCTCAACTAAATTTTCTTATTTTCTTTTTAAAAACGGAAAGACAATGCGTGAAAACTATAAATATACATAAAAAAAAGCGTCTCATATTTGGGATTCAACGCGTAACTTTCATTGTTTTCTTCGGGCAACTATAGAGATTATGACAACGCGATTCGATATGTTGTCATAGAAAGTCTTGTTGATATATTTCTGTATAACGACCAATATTTATTCTGTTATCGGTCAACACGTCGGCTGTATGTGACCGATCTTTTGAATGTCAATTTCGCGAATGTAAAGTGTCGCAATTCACCAAACCGAAATGTTGGCCAAAACAGACAATTGCCCACGCCTTTATAATCGCATTGACGTATCGCAAAAATTTTTCATTAACTTTCTTTAACGCGGATCTTATGCGGAGATAATTCGCATTCTTTTAAACGCACGCGAAAGAGAAAGTAGACAACTTCGTTACAAACGTCACAGATGTTTTCGGTACGCAATTATCACGTTTTCAAGTCGTAATGACTCGAGCGCGCGCGACACTTTTCATCGCTGGAGTCGCGCGCGCGACCTTGACACTCAAAGGATCGTACGAGCGCGCGATCGATCGACGTACGAATTCGTTGTCAAAACATTCGAACGTCATCGCGCGAGATAGAAAAAGAGAGACGAGAAAGAGAATGAAACATAAATTCATTATTTACATGATCGACGTGTGCTGCGGTCTGTCCGACTCGCCGGCATTGTGGCGATGGTGGTTGTTGTTGCCGTTGTGGTTATTGCCGCCACCGCCTGTTAATCCTTGCACCTGTGCACCACTCGCGACAGTAGTCCTCGCTGGTTGCCGGCTCGCGGTATCTTTCAGTATCTTCGTCGCGCTCAACGGCGTGGCTGTCACGCACATAGTTTCGCGCGTCGCCGCTGATACCACCTCGTCGGTAATACACACACTACGAGCCGAAGAACTTGGCACCCCGCGCGAGGGAAAGTATGCGATGTCTCAGCTCGGCCAGGACATTCGGGCCAGTGCTGACGGCGACGACGATGACGATGACGAGGACGATGACGAGGACGACGCGATCTTGACGCGACGTCCTACGCGACGCGACGGTGCGCGAAACAACAGCGTTCGCCCGCTCAGACTCGCAGGTCCGACTGTACCGATAGCGAGCATCAACACGGAGGTGAATGCGTCCCGGACGTGTTGAAGATAAGGGAAACGCGCGCACCTAACCCCCGCGGATGATGACCGAGAGAGAGAGAAAGAGCCTCCTCGCAGCGTATAAGTAATCCGCGCGCGCGGACGCGCGTGTATAAATAATACGTTAACCTTCCAGAGGGCGCGCACTGCACAACGTTTCACAGATCCCACCTCGTGGCGCGCCGCGGGCCTACTGAGTGACTGATTGACTGAGTGACTGCCGCGAGCCTCGAGCCACGAGCCGCCCTGCGTGGGTGCACACGCGGTCTCGCCGCTCGACGGGGCTGTCGCCGCTCCGATTCGTTCGATCCAGGGGCAAGTCCGCGCGGTGGGGCATGGTCGTCCAATAGGATGCCACAGCCACCAGAGCGACCCTCCGCGGCGTACTGCCGGCACTTGGTCGCCGGCCGTCGCGGCGTGCGTTTCGTGCGGTATTTGTATCGCTTCGATTTTATATTCCCGACAGTCGCTTCCTCCCTTCGAAGACTGAACTTCTTCGTATCGTTACGCAGGTGTTTTCACAGTGTTGTTGCGGAATTTGAGCGCAAGACGAGAAGGAGATTTGGAGTGTTTCGGACGATTGAAAGGGAATTCTCTCTCTCTCTCTCTCTCTCTGTTTCTCTATCTGGGATTCCCTCAGGTGTTTTCGCATTATTTGCGCGTGTGACTCACCGGATCGATAACGAGAAGCGGAGGTTTTTAATAAGCGTCCGAGTTCGTTCTTCCATAAGAGCAGAAGCAAGTCTCGAGTTTGAAGTTGTATCTCGTTTGGCTCACGATAACATCCCGTAATTTTTTCTTTCCGTGTGCTTAGAAATGTCGATGTGTGTCAGTGACGGTGTATGCGTAGATCGTCTTGGTCTCAATTGTCTTTCAGTTTCTTCTTTCAATTTTTCGCTCTCTCGTTGTGGTGCAAGTGCGACTTGGGTCTATGCGCGTCGTCGTTGTGAAATTTGTTTTTGCAACGCACACGTTAGCTTTGTACTTTTTACCAAATTGTGTGTACATACGTTTCAAGTTTCTCGTCAGTGTGTCGTAGAAACCAAAATTTTCCGCCGTAATTACGTCAGAATATTTGTCTGATTATTTGCATATGTTCAAATTTTATCCGTACGCTTCTTGATGGTGTTCGTACGATCCGAATAAAAGCTGTCGCGTCACGTCAGCAATCTCGTAGAAATTCTTTTGTAAATTTTTCCAACTGTATATTCACATTTACACGCGATTGTGCAGAAAATGCTATCACGTTTCTTCAACATGTGGAAATTGCTGTCGCGCTAATTGACAGATACATATGTCATCCGCTATATGAAACTATGGTCTGTTCGCGTCGAAATTTTATCCCGTTTTCGATTCGAAACGTTTGCCTCCGCACACAACAAACGCTACATCTCACATCGTCGTGCTATTTTACGAGCTTCGTCTCGTAAAAAAAAACTTTATTGTTCCATCAATCGTTAAACGTATCGTTCTCACGTGGTTTGAAGAGACGTCCATATCTCGTTAAAATCGGATCAGACGCTTCCCATTAAATCGAAATTTTGACAGTGCGTCGATGCGTGAGGTTTAACTCATTGTGACAAAAAATGAAAGATAGAAAACAGACCGATCTTACGGATTTTAAAATAAATGAAGAAACACGAAAAGTTTGTTTGAAAAAATATAAATATCCAAAAAAACCTCTTGTGTGTACTTTTTATTTTCTTTTCAGAAATATTGTCATCAAAAGAATTATATGCGTTTAAAGAATTTGTATGTGTCTTATGCGACAAAATTTGACAGATGTAACGTACGACGGCGTGTACAAAGTGAACAATTGACTCGCTGGCAATTTTGAGTCTTTTGGAATAAATGTTTGACGTCTGATTTCTCGAGTTTTGCAAAAAAACAAATGGTGGCAATATTCGCATGAGAGACCAGCTGGCTTACAATCGTGCTGATTTATAACTCGAGCTGCATTTCCATGCACGCAATTTATATTCGCAATTCTCTCTCACACGCACACGCACACACGCGCGCGCGCAAAAATATTTCCGGAGAGATATTAATCCCGTGATTTCTATGCGCGTCTGCAACGCATGATCGGTCGCATCGCTTTGTGAACGCCGATTGAAATGTAAATGCTAAAAGGTATCAGAGACTTATCTCCGGCTATCACTTGAGAGAGTTATCCTCTCTTTGTCGACTGATGTGGCAGCGGGATTATTAATATTTATATATAAACCGCGATAAAAAAGAAAACGTGTATATATTACAAAACATCTTGTACGTACAATATATACAAAAAAAAAGTATCGATACAACTTGCGTTTATACATAATTAAAATTATTTCCTCTATTAATTCTTTGTAGTCAGACATGGGTCTCCCAAATCTTTCAGAAATTGCGCGTTGGCGTTTCTAGAAAAAATTTGGTTTTTTTAATTACTAGAGATTTTGTTTTTCTTTTTTTTTTTTTTTGATTGACGGAGAAGTGTTTAAACTTTCGATTAAAAAAAACAAAAAGAAATTGAAAAAATATTGATTTTTCGCAGAGAGATATTCGATCTTAAAGTCGCGTGGGTCTCACAGACCCCGGTCTGACTAACTCGCAGATCATTTTTGAGGTCTAATCACGAGAAGGATTGAAACTATATATTTTTTATATGTATAAAAATCACACATGAATTATATTTAGCAAACACTGAAGGATTGCACATCCAGATGTGAGAATTGTAATATAAGCAAACAAATTACGGAGGAAAGCTGCAATTTTCCAAAACATGAGTAGAAATAGCGAAAAAAATTATCTTTCTGCGATCTAGACTCAAACGTCTGATAAGGAATATGTATCTCGAGAAGAACCAAACAGATTGTACAAAATATCTTACAAAACGTCAAAACATCAAATCGTAAACAATACTTTGCATTATTTATCAAATGTTTATTTATGCAGATGTTCCTCAAGATCTATTTTCGACGTTTGAATGACATCTGTTACATACAAGATGCTTCAGAAATAGCTGGCCAAAATTTGATATTGTAGTTTACTTTCTCTAAGGACGAAAAAGTTACATAAACATAGGTTTGGAAACTCTACCTTTTCCTAAAAAAAAATTTCGTATTGTTGCTACATGTAACAGAATTCGAAATACACCAGGACTTTTTGAATGTCTTCGACATTCTTCGAAACATCAATGCGAAACGTGTATTATTGCGTGTATTTAAAATAAATTCTCTCACGAACAGCATTTATAGAGGAAAGAAATAAATAGTTTCCAAAGCTGTACGTGACCTTTTTTTATTCTTAGAAAAAGTAAATTACAATATCAAAATTTGGCCATTTTTTCCGAAGTTTGTACACAATACCTATATGTATATCTGTCAGAAGAACGATCATTCATACTCTCTTTCTCTTTCTAGAGATTCATGTAGTGTTTAAGAACTACGTGCATCTATGCGGACTTTCCAGATCTCCCACTGTTCCGACTAAACACACACAAATAGGTATTTTACCAGATTTTTTAAGTAGACAAAATTTTTTGTACAAGATCTCTTTCTATGCGTATTATCTTCGACGCTGTGCTGATGAAACGTAACGTACAGTGAATAAGTTATTTCGCTCACGGCGAAATTGGACTTGAGACGTTCCAGATTCTTACATCTTTTGTATAAGGACACTATCGCATTATTACACACTAGCTGGCCAACTAAGACGACGGATATCGAAAAAACGAACACGTAGTAGAGAAAAATTGGTACAGCCACGTTCGCCGCGCTTCCAATTTGCTGACTTCTCCATTCTTGTTGCGATCTTCGATACGGGCCGCGAGCCTTTAACGGTCAATGAGATGAATGACGGCGTGTCCATAATACGTTTCGAACAGCGACAAAGTCGGCAGTAATAAGTTTGTCGTCGTCGTCGAGCGTCTTTGAGCACGCGGTAGGTGGGAAAGAAAAGTAAGAAAAACTCGATGCTCCCCCTAGAACGCGGGCGGCCTTCGCGTTGAATAGCGTTCGGTATATTTCAAAAACGAAATATTTTCTCCAAAACGTGTTATTCACGCGTTCACTAAAAACGAACCGCCCTGCGATTGTCTGGCGACAAGCTTTCGGAAGCGAAAAGGCGAATAAATCGAACGGATGCGTGAAATCGGTGCGAAAATCGATTTACGGTTTCACACCGGTTTGGTCTCGTTATTTTGAAATAATAGAGTCATTAAATAAATATTTATATATGTATATGAATAAAATTGACAGATATTAACAGTGAAAATAATCACCAACAATAAAGATAATGCATTCTGAGATACGATGTAAAATGGTAAAAAAAATTTGTGTAATCTTTATCGTAGACTTTTTTCTGTATTATGCTATAAAATACGTATAAAAAAACATAATTTACACATTATGACTTGATTTTTTGTTCATTAAGTCATTTACAAAATGATTGATCTTATCTCGGACAGACTTGGGTCTCCCAGACCCATTTAAAAATTACATGAGAATATTCGATTTTAAAGTCGCGTGGTTTCACAGGCTCAATTTGTCGAACTGGTAGATCATTTTTGATCATTTTGTCTGTATCCACAAATGGTTACAATAAAACGAATTGACAAGAAACGCAAAACTTAAATATTCTCTTGCAAACAATATTAAGTAACAAGTGCGTATACTCAACATTTGCAAGAAAAAGAATCGACTGCCGCGTTGCATTCGCGTTGCAATCGCGAAAAAGTTGAAAAAAATTTTTTCCTTGGAAACTAACTTGTAAAAAACT